CCCCAAAACCCCAAAACCCCAAAACCCCAAAACCCCAAAACCCCAAAACCCCAAAACCCCAAGATTAAGTGGATTTATTGAATTATTGGGGTTAGATTATTTTTAGGGAGGAGGTTGATGGTCTTTGGGAAGTTGAGCTGGAGTGGTTTACTTTGATGTTGTGGTCTTTAAGGAATTTTAGGAAATTTTGGTGCATTATTGAGTTTTCAGATATGATAGAAGGTTTTGGACCTAGAAATTGAGTTTAGAATGGGGTTTACTTGTAAGAGATGTGCTTGGTCTTTTTGAGGGCGCTCGAGAGGTTGAGTTATAGTGCCTTGAAGTGGTGAATTTCGGGCGCACTTCTGAGAAGGTGTAATCAGACTTAATTGGCTTTTGTGGTGTTTCAAGCACTAATCTTGGATTTAAAGACACTGTTCCTGTGAAACCAATAGGTTTGTAATTCTTAACTATTTTGAAAATTACTGAATTATTCTTAAGTCTTTTCTTTTTCCTTAAATTAGCAGTCCTACATCGCTTTCCTTTGGGTCTAACTTGGTATGCATTCTTGATATTTTCCACAAATTTATGAGAAGGTTGCTTATGTTTAGAGTTACTTCAGTTTAACCTTGCTCTATTAGGCTTCTTCTGGGATTTATCTATGCTTAAGTTCTCGTCGAAATCATCAATTTCTACTGCTTTCAAGTCCATATTTTTAAATAAATTGAATACTGGAGCTACCTCCACTTCGATTTATTACGCTTCTTGGTTTTGGTCTGAGGGTCTTCACAGGTGACTTATACCTGATCAATGAGCTATGCTGGTCTTCAATAGTGCTCCTATTAAGCATCCGAGCCTGATCATGCATCCTATGGGACTCTATGGATCATTCAATGCCAAGTACTGAAATAATCTGATGAAAGGGGTAAAGTATTGCTAAAATCCTGGACTCTGACTAGCTTCTGGCCTGCTCAATTTTTGGTGTCTCTAAGTCCTTGAGTTCTTTTGTTATGCATCAAGTGCATATAAACTTTGTGGTGGGAGCTGGAGAGTTCCTGAACTTTATACTTCTGAGTACCTTATTTAAGCTTCTTCTTTTTACGGTCTATCTTCCTGAACATTATTCTATAAGAGGTTTTTAGTGGGGTTCGTACTTGGCATCTTGCTGGGCGACTAGGAGTTTACTGAAATCAAACTTCTTTTTGGCTAGTTTTGTCTGGAGTTTTAGAGTTTTATTTTTCATTTTATTTTTATTTTATAGGGGTTTTGGGGTTTTGGGGTTTTGGGGTTTTGGGG